TGTGTTGTGGTAGTGGGGGGGGGGGGGGGGGGGGGGTTACTGTAGCTTGGGAATGGAGATACAATCTAAACACACAGGTTTGGATGGAAACTTGTACTGTGGATGGAAACAACATCGTACTGCAAAAGATTACTGATTGGAGCCATGATTGAAGCCCAAGACCTAATGAATATGAATGTGGTTATTCCAGATAGATAGATAGATAGATAGATAGATAGATAGACAGACAGACAGACAGACAGACAGATAGAGTCTGCATTGTACGATCTTCCCACTAGATGTCAGTAAGTATTCTAATTAATTCAAATGCACTGCATATCGTTATCACTCACTCTCACATACACACCCAGTCCAGGGAAAGAAGAAAAAAATTATAAGTAAAAAAAAAATCATCCCGTTTTGACCTCATCAGCAAGAGAAAGATTCCATTTTGTGATAAGAATACTTTAATTAATTTGATTTGCAAAGATATAAAAGATCATACACTTGGTCCTCTGTGGTCAGAGAAGTCCATACAAGCACTCATGCACTTCAAATTAATTAATCGAGGTATAATCATCACATTTTCTGATGATAAATTCTCATTCATCATCAGAATGATGAATGATCATCCACATTTTTAAGGCTAAATCTGGTGTATATTTTTTATTTGACTTTGCATTTTGACTCTATATACGGTATGCATATATATATATATATATATATATACTTCAGAATTTATAAATCAGCTTAAACATTATTTAATTGCATATCCACAAATTCCCAGCTTCACCTTTTTTCCGACTTTTCTCCTCCTTTTCTCCAGTTCCTGCAACACTGTTTCTGCCGTCCATAATGGCGAGAGATTCTTGTAAGATAAACACATTAAAAAAAGAGGAAGATCAGCAGATGAGAGATTTGCAAAGCGAAACAACCAACCCCCCATTTCTCTCTTTTCCTCTTTCTTTCTTTCTTTCCCTTTCTCTCTCATTATCCTCCCCTGCTCATTTGAATAAATTAACACCCCCCGACGTCTCGCTTCACCACCTTCCTCTTCCCCCCGATCTCTCCCTCCTCAACAGGCTGCAGGGAGAGAGAGAAATCCAGAAATATCCTCCTGTTTCCACACACATTCATTCACTTACTCCCTTATGCACATAGACACAATCACACCCACCCTCCAATACGCCAAATTCATCCCGAAAGCTCGGGTTCAACAGTCTCATCTCTGCTAACACAAAACAAACCCCTCCTCAGCATGCAAAAAAAAAGAAAGAAACGCAAATTACGAAATAAAAACATTTGGTCTTGTAAAAAACAGACTGGCGCACAGGCGCAGATGCACGGGTCCCTCCCTCAGCTAACTGACGTGGTGCAGCTCACTGACTCATTTGACCAATGCTGGCGAGCGTAACATGGCGTACGGTTCTGTATCAGGCTGGCTAATTAGCGCCAGTGCAGCTCCAGCGAAACTGGGCAAGCCGTGCACCACTGCGCCGCCATGCTAAACCAAAGCAGCTCACCATCTGGGCCTCCTTGGCGGCCATTTTGGATCTGCATGACGCTAGTTTTCATAGAGCACTCTAATAGGCGGCCTACTGCAGGGGGAACTGAAACGGGGCACGTTAGCCACCATTACAGAAGACTAGCATTTAGTTCCCTTCCGTTACCTGCATGTGGCTGAGGTGGGAAGGCGCCAACCCTTGCCCCCTCCTTTCCACTCCGCTACCACCCTCTACCCTCAGTGACCTTGCAGGCATTTGGTTAGGGAGGGGGCTCTCTGCATTAATACCAGATACATTAGCGTTAATATGATTCTACCATGTAGCCGTGGCCTGAGGGGGGACTCTGATTGTCTGCGTATTAGCATTACCATTCTCATTAGCCCACCCGCTTCTGTCGTCTCCGCTCTCTCTCCTTCCTTTTCCTCATTGGCGTACTCTCTCTGTCGTTCTCTGCTTTTCTCCAGGCAACAGATGAGAGAGAGTGATGCAGATGATTTGTATTAGCAATGATTTCTGCAGTAGCTGCCTGCCTGCAAGTCAGTGGTCACTTCCTCTCTGATGCACATTGTGTAGATATATACACAGTATCTAGATTTCTTTCAGCCAGTGTGGCTTGTACTTTCTTTCTGAGTGTGCGTGTGTGTGTGTGTGTTTCTCCATAAGTGTGTGGGAGGGTAAGGGTAGCATTCCATCTTCTATATTTCCACTTGTTACATAACTGAGTTGAGAGTAGTGGTAGAGAGAGGCCTCGGTAGGAAACCAAGAGTTCGGCTGATCTGCTCAACTGCTCTCTTCTCTGTTTATTCTTTCCCATACAAGCCACTGCAGAAAGAGGTGTATCTTGAACGGCAAACTTCAGTATACATTTCTGAATTTCAGAGGTATCCAGGAGCTTACTAGCAGGATCATTCCAATGTGTGTGGCCAAGGTAAACCTCTGTGTAATGGCCAAGTGCAGAGTTGTACTTGAGAACAGCTCTTTCTAGTAACAGAACTCAGGATCATGTTGACTCTGTCCTGACTTGGACCCAACTCTCTACTCGATCTTGACTTGGACTCGAATGAGCTGGTCTGAACTACAACACTGGACAAGTGACCCCTAAAGGAAAGGCAGGGGCCCTGGAGAGCCACTGTCCTGTAGAGTTAGCTCCAACTTGCCTCTAAACACCTACCTGGAAGTTTCCAATATACCTAGTAAGACCTTGATTAGCTGGTTCAAGAGTGTTTAAGTGGTGCTGGAGATAAACTCTGCAAGACAGTGGCACCTCTGGACACCTCTGCCCTAAGGTGTTTTGTCAGGAGTTGTACCCTATAACATAAAAGTATCATATGCATTTCAAATCTTTGTGCCACTGTGCTTGACCCTTTTGGTCATTCATTTCATGACCATTTCAACTGGATTTGTTGCTCTCAAGCTTAACCCAACCCAAAGCTAGGGTAGTTATCAGGTGAGGACAACAAGGAATGTTGTGGCCACATTACTCTCAGAAAAAAAGTGCAAAAATTGTACCTTTAGCTTGTTGGGGCATTGCCCTCAAAGGTACACATTAGCACCCTATCTAACCTAAAAAGGCACATGTTATTACTTCAAGGTATACTCAAGGTACTAATGTGAACTCTTTGAAGGTACTGCCCCAGTGTCAGGTAGTTCTACTCCAAAAAGTACAATTTCAGCATTTTTTCCCTGACAGTTATAATGTTAGGGGCCTGCAAAGTTACTCTATGGTATAGCATAGTCATTGGGTGATAGAAGTGACTCGCCCATAAAAATTTTGTCCCAGGGCTCAATGTAATATTTGCAATGACATTGTCGCAAACCAGATGACAGTTGAGTCACTGAACCCACTGATTTTTGTTAAAAGTGATTTAATTGTTTAGACTTCAACTTTATTCCACTCAAAACTTGGGTTTTACTGATTCCCAAAAATGTACATGTGAGGTGTTTGGCTTTGTCGGGAAATGTACGTTACTTTTTTTGTTGGGAAATTTTTACTTTTAACTCTGTTTAACTAACTCTTTTCATGCAGCGAATTTTGTACTCTCCGAAATGCAAACTTTTCCAAATGGGGCCATATAAAAACAAAACAAAAAAAACAACAACAAAAAAAACCTCATATTTTAGCTGAAAACATAATGAAATTAACCAAAATATACAACTTTGTAACCGATTGTTCCGATTTTGTATAAATAAATTTATGTGGGCACAATCTAAGTTACCTAGAGTTTTAACAGAGTAATCATAATTTACATTTGATGTACCCATGCCTTGTCCACTTAATTCCAGTATGAAAGGTTCTGCTATGACAACATATCTTCACTAATGATTATTCCATTTAAATGATCTGAAATAACTGGATGAAATGACATTAGATGAATTGTTCTGTTGCTGACTGGCCAGGCATAGCCTGTGTCTGGAGCTGGGTAAGGATACATCGCTGTCATTACGTGTAGAATCACGTCAGTGTGATGGATTTCTGTATGGGTTGATTCTCTGACAGGGCTGCACATAGCCTGTAATCAATAGCAGTACAGTACGTTACAGTTCAATAATTACCCGAAGTGGATGTGGGTGTGTGAAGCCAGAGAGCGCTGGAGCGGAACCATCAAGCCAAACACTGTGTTGGTAGCTCTACACTCTATCACACTCTATCACACTCTATCACTCTACACATTGTCATTTCTTAAGTTGCCCTGGGGATAGTGTGCTATACTGTAATTTTACACCCAGACATGTACTCTGGCATTGTTACGTATCATTGTCAAAATAACCCATAGAAATCCATCAGACTGCTTTATTCCTTTTAAGATGAAGGGTTTGCCAATTTCCACATACAAAAACTGTCAAATGCTATACAGACTTGTTTTATCTGAATTATAAGAGTTTAACAATGCTGTCAAATTACAATTTCCGCTGTTTAATAAAATCTATTCATATAAATATATATTTTTGCAGACTTGGGGGGTGTAGAAAGACACTATAGGCACCAGACCGAGAAAGCCGGGCTGGTCTGTGAGCGTTTTCCGCCACTCGAGACAATACACGATACGCCCCTCACATGTCATTCCTCTCATTTTGAGCACGGAACAATGCCGCGATTCAGACATTCCTCAGTGCGCCTCTGAAGCACGCGTTCTCCTTCATTCGCATACCTTAACGCATAGAGAGACCGTGACAGGGTCTCGTGCAGAGTCTCTAAGGACGCACGCGTGTCACTCAATGAGCAGTGACATAAAAAGAACGTACGCGGAGGCTTTTACGCACAACATTTGCACGAACTTTAAAACAGCTTAAAGATGATCCGCGGGTCTTAAATGGTTTAAGGTGGTGTCCCAGTCTGGACTTTTCCGTCCTGATCTGTTGAAAAGTACCTAAAACCAGCCAACAGATCACGCTGGGAGAACCGACAAGGTTTAAACAGTTTTTCTCAGCAGAGTTGAGTCAATACAATATTTCTGGCGGTAAAAGATAAGCCGTTGTCATCGCGAAAAAGTGATCCGCCGTGCGTAAAAAGCAGCCATTTAGTTCCCAGGTGCGCTATGGTAACATTGAGTGCCACAGAATGTCCCGGCTGTCTCCAGCCACGTGGACCGCTCACAACAACAACAACATGTTAAGTCCTGTCCTCCCTGATGCACTCAACCCACCCCCACCAACAAAACTCAGCGCGCCGTCCTCGCCGCGTCTCTCTCTGGCCCCGCACCAGCACCTCTCCATCTCGCCGTACCATTAGACTACCGAAGGAGGGGCCTCTCGGATGACGGTCCCGCGGAGGGGAGGGTACGAGAGGCGGGACCAAAGTCTTCCCCGCTTTTCGGCGCTGGCGAGTCCGGGACTAGGGCTGGAGAGATCGCCGGGGAGCATCGTCACCACTCCTGCACGGAGCCTCGCCTGGCCGAATACTGCACAGTGCACACGTCGGGATTGCAAAACATTCCTGAGAAATATACCTGCTATTTATGGCATGTGGCTGGTAACTTTACTCCTGCTGTATTCTTTTCAAGAAGGTATGTGGTCAGTTTATTTTTTGCTGCTTTTTTACTTATAAGAATGATGAAATAAAACGTCACACTTTATTAAATTAAATTAAGTGGAAATGTGTGTGCACAAAAATCGCGCTGTAAAGTTTATTGAATAGATATTCCGCGTTATTTTATTGCACGCTCACATATCTGGATTTCAGGAAGTTTCTTTCGCTCCAAAACTAATACAACTTCGTTCAAAAATGTTTTTAGTTGCTTAAAAATGTGGAAAATGATTTCTCTAGTCGGTGATTAACCACGAACAGGAGATTACGAGGCTGTAGGATCTGCATGTCCCCGTGCGCAAAGATGGGGGAGATAGCATGATTTGTATGCAAGATATGAATATGC